TATCTGAGAATCTGCTTGATTTTATTCGCAATGGTCGATACGAAGCGACCTAAGAATCGTTATAGTTTTGCCTGCTTCACGTAGATATCTCTGTCACCAGAGCACAGCAGCCCCGATGTATGTGCCACGAACGGTTCCGCACTGTCCCGTTAGGGGTAGGATGAAATGACACGTTTTCTATGACTTTTTAAGAAGAAAAGAAGACCATTACGAGGACTATGACTGTTTCCAATTTATGATGTTTTCACGTCAGTCGTAACACGCACAAATCTAGCCATGAAGGTATACCTGACCAGTGTGGGTAACATCTACTATGGTCTAGAATAGAACATAGGTATTTATATCTAGGGTACTGGTAGAGTGTGTGTTGTATGATGTGGGGATGTCACACTGGAGTATATCACTTACATCTGTGTGCGAATGTACGGATATACCCGGGTCTGCACTGACACCGGTCTTCATTTCGTACGACCACCAAGTTGTCACTGTCGTTGCAGTACCCTGTAACATTACACACAGATACACATCACACTGACAAATATTTCACATAAAAAAGAACAGACCGAATTCGGATAAATCAAAGATGCCAAAGGGAAGTAAGTGTTGGACAAATTTTCTGTTAAATTGAGAGCGAATCCACAATTGAGTGGGCAATCTTCAGGGGGATTATTTGCGAACTGTTTTGTTTGCGACATACGTAGATGTTAGTCTCAGACAGCAGAACGAGCAGTTGCGGTTTCGTGACTCTGAGTTTCACGAAATCAATTGATCATCAGACGAAAATAGATTTTATACCCATGCGCTCTGCATGCATCTCAGCTGTGGATTAATCGAAAAACACCGAAAAATAATCGTACAATTGTGCGTAATGGGTTAACAGTGAATACTGAAACACATCACATTGTAGAAGTGGTGAGGCTTCCTGCAGCTTCATTGATAGAAAGAGGTTTGTTGAGTAGACTCGCTCTTTCTTATCCACTCCGCAAATATCGAAGTCGTTTGCTTATCAGTTGTGTTTTAGCATTGAAAAGAGAAACGCAGTACTTCATACTAGCTCTCTCTCCAGAGCTAGTTCTGAAGGAGAAGAGCTGAATGGGCCCGCCACATCATGCAAACGTGCGCTTTAAAATAACTGGGTTACAGATCGTGGCGGTCATTGAATAGAGGATCGAACAGGCCCAGGCTTGTTATGTACACAGCCCCTTAGATTAAAAGGTGCGAGCGTGAAAATTCAACCTTAGGCTTAAAGAGAGAGAGAGAGAGAGAGAGACAGACAGACAGACAGACAGACAGACAGACAGACAGACAGACAGACAGACAGACAAACAGAGACAGACAGACAGACAGACAGACAGACAGAGACAGAGAGAGACAAACAGAGAGATAGAGAGAGATAGAGGGAGTTGATAGATAGATAGATGGATAGACGGAGAGAGAGGGAGAGATAGAGAGAGAGGAGAGGGAGAAGGAGACAGACGCATGAGGGAGAAAGAAGGAGAGAGTTTCTTTTCTGGGAAAACATAAGGAGTTTTGTTAAGGTTTTGGTTTCCTTTCTCTTCTATAATCATTGTTGTTGCAATTCGCTTTTTTCAATAAATTTGCTGTTCTCTTTTAGAATTTTTGCTTTCCCAGCATTCATATCATCAGTGGTTTGTGCGTTCAATAAAACACCTTTTAGGCTGCATTCACACACGGTACAAACATTCGCGTTTACATGACGGTACAAGCCACTTGCAACGCCTGTGCATTCACACAGTCAAATGAAGTGCCTGCCAAACACGTAAAAAGTGACCCGCGTGACCCATACTCCCATAGCGAAGAGCCGGAATTTTGATTTCTGCATGAGCTGAGCGCACCGTACCGGTACCGGTACGGCTAAACATTTCAAAAATACTATTTCTTGGTCCGCTAGTATGATCTTGGTGGAACGCCTCCACAACTGGTGTATTCCTCTGAGTGTGCTGGAGTTGTGAACGATAGCGGAATTAAAATATTTTGATTTCTGCATGAGCTGAGCGCACTGGTACGGCTAAACATTTCAAAACTACTATTTCTTGGTCCGCTAGTATGATCTCGGTGGAACGCCTCCACAACTGGTGTATTCCTCTGAGTGTGCTGGAGTTGTGAACGATAGCGGCCGTGGGTGGGCCGTGTATATCATTTCCTGATCACTCCGGGTAGCTGCTTTGCGCACAGATTCAGCTCATCTCCAATCCTCTTCTCGGCAACAGCTCTTTTCATCATAGTTTCACTTTTCTCGCTTGTATTTTCCCCATAGTTCTATCAGCCGTAGCTCCGCCTCGGCAGAAAAGACAACTCGAGGCATGGTACTACCAGACTCTCCAAAAACTGACAAAAACTCTGCGCACTCGACACACCAAACCCCTTGTTTCGACTTGCCTGAAAACTAAAAGCCGAAATCCACTTTCAAAGCCGCCTTCAAAGCCGCTCCGGGATGGCTTTGAACGTTGATGTGATTTTTCACTTTTCGCGCATGTTT